ATTTTATATCTTATTAATTTAGCGTAGTTATTAATTAGAATAATAATTAGAATAACTACTTCTAAATATAAAAATCTTAATCGAGATATTCTATATATATATTATTTTATAATATAATATTATAAATATATTATATCGTAAGATATCCCGTTAAAATTTTATATTATATTAGATATAAGATGATATAAATCTTAATAACTTATACTATATTAGAGTATAATATAATAAATTAATATTCTATATTATCTTATATCTTTTCGACTAATAAACTATTAATTATTCTTCTTTTATTATTTTATTAATTTTATTAATTTAATTAATATAAATATAATCGTCTTCGATACTCTTTATTTAAAGATTACTTAACGTCTAAGATATATATACTTCTTTTACTTATCTCTTAAAGTCTCTATTAATATCTTTAAGTTATCTCTTGATAAATTTATTACTATTAATAATTAAGATTAGTAGCTTAATAGCTATTTACTATTATTTATAAACGTATTAGAAGATTCTTAAAAAGAGCTTAAATAAATATATTCTTTTTTATATATTTCTTTTAAGTTAATAATAATATCTTTTAATCTAATAATATTATCTTTTAAGATATATCTTTCTTCTTTATCTATTCTTTATTACTCTATTTTAAAACCTCTTAATATATATTAAATTCTAAATATCGTTAAAAAGAAGCTTTTAAAAATATATTAATTATATTAAACGCGTTCGAAATCGAATAATAATTCTTTTATTTATTTATATAATTATTCTTTTTTTTTTTTTTATTAATTCTATTAATTTTATTTAATATAAATATATTTACTCTTAATACTTTTATATTTAATTAAATAAGAGATAAATCTATAATAAACGAATACGAAGAATATTATAAAGAATATTACGAAGATAGTTATTAGTAGTAGTAATATAATAAGTCTACTCTTTATAATCTTATATTAATTTACTTAATTAATATAAGAGAAGTTATTATAATAGATAAATATAAAGAATATTACGAAGAAATTAAGCGATAATAAAATTCTTAATATTAAGAATACGACTTAACTCTCTAAGATTTTATATTATATACTCTTTATAATTTTATATTAAATTATTATTTAATAAGTAAAGAATATTACTATAACTTAATTTATTATTTCTATTATATTAATATAATATATTATTATAATAACGTTATAAGAGAAGAATTTACTACGATAATTATAGTTAATTAAGTCTCTATAGAAGAAATATTAAATAATATATATTTAAATAAATTAAAATCGTTCGATATCTTACTTTAATAGCTATTTTATTATTCGAAAGATTTTACTATAATAGAAGATAATATGAAATTTATACTACTAATTAATATATTATCTTTATTTCTTTTCGATATTTTAATACTTCTTATTATAAGAATATAGTCTTTCTCTATTTTTTATAAGTAATTATTATAAATTAATTCTTTATACTCGATATATCTTTCTAGATAAATCTTAGCGCGTCTCTCTTTATATATATATATTTATATATTATATAGATTAAATTAATTTTTTAATAGTAGAAGTAGATTAAAAACGTATAGTAAGCGATTAAAGTTCGATTTAACTTAGAATTAAAGCTAAAAGTTAATTTAACTTAAAAAAATTTAACTTTATAAATTTAACTTATAGACCTTTACTTATAGAAAATAAAAAAGTTATTTTAAAATTAAATAATATATATCTATTTTTTAATTAGAGCTATCGCGCGAACTTTAATAAGCGATATTTAAATTTCTTATACTTTAATAATTATAAGATCGAATTTCGAAATTTTATTATTATTAAAAAGCGTAAACTTCGGGCTATAATTTTAAAAAAAAATCTTAAAATTTTAATAGAAAATAGTAAAGTTATTAAAAGGTTAAAAGTAGAGAAAGAGATTTTTAATAATTACGAACGCTAATTTATTTACTCGCGATATCTAATTAAAAAGCGTAGATCTAATAAATTAATAATTAACTATATATATAAATTTAAAATTTTCTAATTTAGCTTTATCTTATTCTTTTATATATATTAATAAATAAAAAATAAAATTTAGGCGAGCTTTAATAAGATTAATACTTATATATTAAAAATAGTTTATAAATCTCTAAATATACTTAATTATAATATTATTAGCTATTATCGAAGCTCTCTATTATATTCTTATAGCTTCTTAATTTTAATATTAACTTACTTTAAATATTATTAAATTTTATTCTATTAATTTACTATCTTATTCTTTTTAATTTTAAAATTAATATACTATTTAATTACGTCTTAAAATTAATCTTATTAATAGCGAAGATTATAAAGTATAATAAGAAATTAATTAAATTTCTTATCGATTTAATAGCGTAATTAATTAATATTAACGATTTATTAAAAGTTTATAATATTTTTAATATTTTTTACTATATTATTAAATAATAAGAATTATTAATAATTAAATATTTAAATAAAAAGATTACTAACTCGATTTATCTTACTTAATTATATATTTAAAATTTATAATAATTTTAAAATAAAAAGAAGAGAATTTCGTTATTTCTTTTAAGTTTTTAATATTATAAATTTAAATAAAGAAGAGAAAAGAAAAATTTCTTATAATATCTTTTATAAGGCTTTATTATAAATTCGAAAAATAATATTATATTTTACGAAGATTTTTTTTCTTAATTTATAGATTATTTAAACTATTATAAAAATTATAAATAATTTAAATATTATTCTTTTAAATACTTTTACTTCGCTTAGAAAATTAATTATATAATTATTAAGTTAAATAGTAATTTATTTAAATTTACTAGCTATATAAATAAATTAATTTAATAATTACTTTAATTCTCTAATTAATTATAGAATTATTATATTATTTTAATAGATATTTTTTATAATATATTATCTATATAGTAGATTTATTTAAAAATATAATAACTTAATTTTATATCTTATTAAAGCTTCTATTAATAGATTTCTTAAATTTATCTATTAATTTAAATATAGTAAGTAAGATAATCTAGTTATAATATTAAAATCGATATAAATATAATATTAATATAGACGAGTAAAGATTTATAAATTAAATTTATAATTTTTTTTTTAAATTAGAGCTATCGAGTAAATTTAATAAGCGATCTTTAATAAGCGATATTTAAATTCCTTACGCTTTAATAATTATAAGACTAAATTTAGAAATTCTTTTTTTTCTAAAAGCCTATATTTTATTCTATAATTTAAAATAAAAATCTTAAAATTTTAATAGAAAATAAAATCTTATTTTAAAATTAAATAATATATATCTAATTAAGACTATTCGACTATCGAGCGAACTTTAATAAGCGATATTTAAATTTCTTACGCTTTAATTATTATAAGACTAACTTTTAAAACTCTTAAAAATTCGAGAAGCCTATATCTTGTTCTATAATTTAAAAAAAAATCTCAAAATTTTAATAAAAATAAAAAAGTTATTCTATATATAAATAATATATATCTATTTTTTTAATAAGAGAGGCGCTAAAGGGCGAGATTTTAATAATTACGAACGCTAATTTATTTATTCGCGATAAGTTAGTCGATCTAGTTAAAAAGCGTAGTAAACTCGAATTTATAATTAGCTATATATATAAATTTAAGATTTTTAAACTTAATTCTATCTTATTCTATTATATATATTAATATAATAAATAATAAAATTAGATATCGAATAATTATATAAATAAAATTAGAAGATATTAAATAGTAATAAATATCTCTATTAAGATACGCTAGACTCTAATAGACTATAGAATTAAATAATATATTAAGAAAGATATAGAATAGGCTCGTAATATCGAGAACGAAGCGAAATAGTTTCGAAATTTATTAAAATTATTACTACTCGACTATCTAAGCTTATATTAAAGAATATTCTTAATAAAATAAAGAAGTTTTTAATAAGCGATATTTAAATTCTTTATTTTAAAATATTTATAAAATTAAATTTAATAATTCTTTTTTTATTTAAAAGTCTATTTTAACTTAAAGAGACTAAGTAATCTTAATACGTCTAAGAAACTAAGGCAAGGAGCGCGGCTGATGTTTCATGGAATAGGCATCTGAAGCTCGCATTGAAAATGCTCACAGCAGATCATACTAGCCATCGCAACATTGTTTGGATGTCAGTCATTCAGTGGCCCGAGGAGCTAGTTATGAAACACTCGAGGAAACGCTATTCTCGTGGGTTTCAAATTAGATAAGAGTTCTACTCTAGCGCCCCTACCTAGGCGGAGACAATGAATGTGACAAGAAAGCTGGGAGAAGTGTTACGAGTTCGTGTCAGGAAGGGTGGGAAGTACTTCAGAGTCAGAATTACGAGAAGACACGGCGAGTTACATGTAATTTTCCCAGTGAAGTTACATACTATCTTGCTGACATCAGAGGCGTCAGTCTCAAGCTCCATGTACGGTCAGAGGCTATAATTTTCACAGACTACGTGCCTCTGATCGAGTGAAACCATTGGAAGCTATGCTTTAATGAGGGCGAGCTACACTATAGCTGAAGGCTTGATTAAAAAGCCTGCGAGGAGGGTAACCGCCTGGCGTTGCCTTGATCAGCGGGAAAGTATAACTGATTGATAGGTAATGGAAGGTTGTTGAAATAATAGCAACATGCTAAGCCGCACAATTCAGCGGTAGTATGAACCGATTACGGGTGCGTACTGCGTAGCGTCCTCTTGCAATTACTTAAAGGTGGCCACGTTCGCTCCTGTAGCCAGCAAATCCATTTCACCGACTTCTGATCTATCGGTCCATCACAAGTCTCACTCATATATATATAAGTTTAACTTAACGCTCTAAGCTAGTAATTACTATATCTACGTTCTCTCGTAACGTTAAGAAGGTGATTGTTGGGGCCCGCACCATCCCCATTGCCGTGGTCGAGTATATTTAAGGCAACGGCTGGAAACGCCAAATCGACGCCATCGATATGACTCTTCTTCGGGAAACAGTAGTCAAAGTGGCAACTGCGGTTTCAGGATCCAGTCTGGGGCTAACAAAGAATGAGAAAGATCGTACTGACAAAGTCGTTGTACAGTATGCCGTGCACTAGAGCAATCGTCTATGATATGGGTGTTAACGCTTCACAGTTCCATGCCACATCCGAGTCCAGAAGATCCTCGAGTCCACTCCACAATTACCGGCGAAGATGAAAGCGGAAAAGAAGTGTTCAGGAAACATGTTGCTTATGATCCAAGCAAGGAAGCTGTAAGTGTTTTTGTCCCCTAGACGACCCTGACACCCAGCTTATCTTGAGCAGTCTTCCAGTGGCTCACAGTAGGATGGATACAGCCGTGAAGAACCAAGTGATTGCTTGCTAGTAAACTTGATCGATATCAACATATGTCGCAATAAGGCGGTGTCTCCAGCAGCTGAGGAGCTTTGTACGAAAGGAATTTGTATTTATATTTACTTGGTGTTCGCCATCATTTATCTTCTAGTCGAATGAGTTAATCTAGCGAAGATAAGGATGCTGTAGCGCCTCCACTGCGCTTGGCCTCTTCGTATGGTCCAGAACAAGCAAGAACTCGATGAAGTCAAGAAGCTCTGGAGACACCTTGGGAGCAGAGAGCTTCTCGAGCTCTTCACGAAGGGTACCAACACTCATGAATGGTCTCTCCGAAGAATCATCCTGATGCTTGAAAGAGCTTGTTTCGAGATACTCCGCCAACGCGAACTCCTCTTCGTATTTCGGATCGACCGGCGGTTCCATCGACCCAACAAGTCGTCGTATCTTGGCTATACACCAGGCTTCGGTCAGATCTTGAACGATCTTATCGTGGGGACCGAAGATAGCTGAGTGCGACAGCCAATGCGTAAGCTTTACTGTTAGCAAACGGCCGTGACAAAACAGAAGCTGTGCCAGACCGTAACCCCAAATGACCACACGTCCGAAGAATGCCAGACACCTAAGCCTCTCCACACCTCGGGGGCACGGCACTCAAGGCTCTGAAGACGCATTACGTCATACCCATCTCCGAACACTAGACAACTCAGCAAAGCTCGCAAATAGATTATAGGGACCCACTGTTTCCTAAGTCTCCTACTTTCACGACAGGAGAAGGACCGTCGAAATCAGAAAGGAAAATATTGTTTGGATTGATATCTGATTAATCAGCAGCTGCCGGGGAAGGGAAAAGACCGGTTGCCACGCACCTGTGTGGATTGCGTCGTACTGTGTCTTCAGAAGAGCGAGTGCCGACAGTACTGATCTAGCTATGACTTTGGGAAGGATTGAGTCTTGACGATATCTTTCAGACGACACCTGCCACAAGTCATACTCCATCCACTCGAAGACCATACCGGGCGGGGCTGTGGCCATCTCATCTGCCTGCGCTGTGTCATCACTCGAGTAGGGTTCAAGTATGTCCCAATGACTGCGGATATATGGGCTCGAGCGTATTCCAGGAATGAGGTAGTTGTTTCGCTCTCGCCTCAAGGCTTTCTTGGTGGACCCCACTGCTGTTTTGACCACCGCACTTGAGATCCATGAGCTGCCATATTGAAAGTTACAACAAAAGGTCTAACATACAAATCTGCTTTGATGATAGAACTCTCCAGCACTTGTGCTTTATACACCGTTGGCGCATGGAGTGCATTGAGGAGGCGATAAGTGGCATTACGTCCTCGTAGAACTTGTCCTGTGCTCAATACCATTGGGTCAGGCATCACCAGAACATACTGGTATGCGTTCTTGGTTGGGCTATTGTAACAGTGTCAATGCATGTTGTCAAAGCGTGCCGCTGCTCGATTGAGCACGATTTCACGGAGGTATGCATCCTAGACATGCCAAGACTCTTGGCACTCTTGGCACTCTTGGCAAGTTTGCCGTGAAGACCATTCTCTAGCCCTAAACGTTGGCTCAACTTCTGACACCCCTTCTGCGACGGTACATCTGATGTATTCAACACGATCGACATGATCGAATCTCTGCCTCCAAAAGTGATAGCCTAGCTTCGGTTGGAGCGGGAACCTTCCATCTAAAACCCTTGGCCTTGACATGGTGCAAGATCAGCAGCAGGTGTCGATACACGAGATCAATGAGCTACAAGCATCAATGGACTCTCGGTCTCAAACCCAACTTCAATGTACACACTGATCTCCCGCGGGTTTGAGCTAGCATATCGGAGCCCATTCAACTCAGGTTCACTCATGATTGTTGCAGGGTAGGACGCTTTGAAATCGATCATTCGTCATCGACTGCAATCACATCTACGAGCAATATCAGCACGATGAGATCCCTATTTACATCCCGCAGTTCTCACGCTGGACGCGAAAAGCTTGTCCGACCTACCCATACGTGTAGCTGGGTACCGCGGAAAGCCTGATCAGACACTGGAGAAGGTAGCAAAGACTCCGAATCGGATCTGCGATATCTGATAAGATGAAACCCCGTTCACGACGCGACAGCTGACTTTATCTGCTCAGAACTTCATCGCTCAGCACAAATTCATGTGACTGTTTAAAAGTAGATCTAAATCGACAAGGCATTGAGCTACTACAAAAACTTCACATAGCCACTCCCCTTCACAAAGGTCGCTAACCAAGGACCCTGCGTCTCACTTTCAGCCAGATTCACATAGAACTCCCCATGTGCGCTTCCATCAACTGCTCCTCCAACTGGTGATCCCTCAGACGTCCGCTCGTCAGCATAGTAGAATCTGTTTATTCACCGTCAGCAAGAGCCAGCAGGGAGAACGAGATCAAGACGTCATGTCACCTATAGCCTTTATCTTTGTACGCCAGTGAAGCCGAGGAGATTATGTGCGCCGTAGCGGATTTTCCTATGCCCAAACTGAGGAGCGACAAGATCGGAGCGATGTTGAGCCTGTTACCCGTGTAGATGAAGGTGCGTGAGGCACTTGGGGGTAGCTTTTCAAAGGATAGAACTGCTTCATGGGCAGCAGCCAGGACGCTGAGAGTATTGACGTTGAGGTCACGGCTGAGGACGGGGATAGAGACCGAGAGTGGATCTTGTGGTGGGTTCGGAGTGGCCATTGCAGCTACACCATGATAACCGAATCAGATCAGCCCCAGGGTACAGTGGATCCGTGTAACCGCCGTTGTTCTTATTGCAAAGCGCTGACTCACCATTATAGACCACCACGCTAGGCAGACCGAGAAGATCTTGTACTTTCGCAAAGATGCCAGCGACGGACCCAGGGTCTGCGAGATCGCCTTGGAGGTGAAGGTCTCCGTCATCGGTCGTCTCCTGAGCTCGAGAAGTCCTCGACGTTAAAGCGACACGGTACCCTTTTGCTGCAAAGGAGCGAGCGACATGGGCACCAATGTTGGCACCTGCGCCAAGTATAAGGACGACTGGTGAAGCTGCTGCTTTGGACATTGTTTTCGAGGCTCGAGGGGATAGATGGTTCCAGTATGCAGTAAAAGACTGTGTTGTTCAAAATGCAGGGAAACCAAGGCGCTGCCATTGCCATATATGCATGTAGTCTTGCTGAAGTCTTTGAAATCAAGTTCAGCAGCTTACGCGACCTCTTTTTCCGACAATGCGATGGTGACTAAATATCCCAGATGCTGACGCCGAGGCCGCGAAAGGGCGTACTGCTAGTTCACTACAAGGTAGACTGATTAATATTTCATACTCCATCTTACAAATCCAAACCCCTACACCAAAGTCCGGGGTATAAATTAGTAATTCGCCCGGCCGCAAAAGTCTCTTGCAGGTGCGGCGCTCTTTCCGCAAAAGACAACCGCTAGCAGGATCACTTAATATATGCTAGGGCGCGGGCTTCCCAGTAGTGAAAAGCTTGCCGAGTATTGATTTTTAACTATATTTAATTCTTAGAAAGACCCTCTAAAACCCCTCGAACCCTTCGAAAACTTTTTTCAAGACTCTTCGAGAGTTTATATCGAAGAGACTATTAAAGTAAGCTCGAAATTTAATTATTTTAATAATATTTAATTAATTTCGAGTTTACTTTAATAATCTCTTCGATATAAACTTTTAAAAAGCTCTTAAAGAGCTTTAAAGAATTTAAGAGATTTTAAAAAATTTAACTTTAAAAATCGAGAGAGAGATATTATAATTTATTAAGAATCGAGAGAGATATTATAATTTATTTAATATACTTAAAAAGAGATTCTCTAAAATTTCTCTAACTCTTTAAGAGCTCTTATCGAAGAGACTCTTCTTATAAACTTAATAATTTAAGTAAAAATCTTAATTTTTAATATATCTTTATAAATACTTTATTAATTTCATTTTTTCTATATTATTTAAAAGCGTATAATTAACTCTATAACTCTACGTATTTAATTTATTATTATATTTTTAATAAAAGAAAAGAAATTAAAAAAAATAGATTTAAGAATTTTAAAGCTCTTTATACTCGTATATACCCGCGTTTAGATCGAAAATAAAGAAATAAAATATATTTTAGACTGAAAATAGTAAAATCCGATAATTTAATTGATTACTAGCCTCTTAGCGTAGAAGTTATTTGATTTCAACTCTTAACATTGAGAAAGCAAGCTTTCCAATTATTGCTTCGTCATTAGCTTACATGTACTGTGACAGCACGTTGGCCTGAAAGGTTATAGTTCCGTATCCGCGACAGATTACATGCTCCATGGATGTACTGTAGTAACGCCAGAAAAGACTAGGCTTTGCATACCAGCTATGGCGCAGCGAGACAAGGGGATATTGGAGACGCGGTCGGGTACATTAGACAATTGTTATTGATGTCGGCACCTGCTTGTACGCCTCGTGGCTTAGCGATCGCTCTGTACAAGGCTTATGAAAAGTGATGCAACCCATAGTATTCGAAACCACTGGGCTCAAATCGCCTTACCTGCTACTAGTATATCACGTGTGATTCCCTCATCTGGGTCACCTAAAGCTTAGAAATGTATTCGTCCTGTCGGGCTGACGATAAACCGAAAAGATCGGTCAATTATCTCGCGGCCTGAGTCAATTCTATCAAAGAATTCTAGATACTCATACAGCACATGAAGACCAACTAATTGTCAAGGCTCAAGGGGGGTTTCTAAATTTCGATCCAGACCAAGTAGCGAACTCCCGCCGTCCAGACATCCCACCAAGAGGCCTCGGTCACCGGCAGATTACGTGACGGATTGACTGAGGTGTAACACAGCCTTTTTCGAGATGAGCAAAGGGGACAACCAAAGGAATGGAACATTCCCATCATCACTCAAGAAACGAATGAGCAGCGGTCTGTGATAGATTTCTGAAGTCAGCCACACTCCTCCAGCATTGAGTTCACTCCTTGGTCCGTAGATTTGGAGATAACGATGACTTTTGCAGAGGCTGCCGGAAAGCCAACTGCGTAAATCTGCGCGTGTTGTCAGTGTGCGCCACCAGCTCAGGAAGGCGATCCCAAAGTCGATTGGCAAGATGGGCACATCTATTCCTAACATGTCGATGTCGATGATCTCCAAAACAAGCTCGTAACACGTCTCTGATGCCTGCTTACTCCCCAACATCTACACAACCAAAGTTTTGGACAATGGACACGGCTTGCCTTTGATGCTAGTATTAACTGTTGGCGGAAAGAGTCCCCCAAAAAAAAAAAAAAAAAAATTTTTTAAAAAAAAAAAATTTTAAAAAAAAAAAAAAAAAAAAAAAAAAAAAAAAAAAAACCCAACGAAAACAAAGAATGAACACGGCTTGAATTCTTTAACAACTACTACTTTTATAATCTATAATTTTTACAATCTTTTTCATAATACTAAATAATTAGTTTTAGAATTTTAAAAGATTTTAATTTTCTATCGTAAGAAATAGTATGAATTGAAAATATACGCTTTACGTTGAAAAGTTACCTCCGCTTCTATAATCGCCAAGCTTATCTAAAAATCTTAAGATTTAATAGATTTTTATTTTACTATATAGCAGATAATAAGAACATTTAAAAATTAAACTTCTTGATCTTTATTATATCTTCTTATAGTTATAAAGTTTTTAGAAAATTAAATTTATCATTGTGCCTTATTCCGAAGTTTGATTTTTCGGTTTTCGGGGGGGGGTTTGGGGGAATTTTTTTTTTTTAAAAAAAAAAAAAAAAATTAGCTCAGTTAAGCTTAGCGCTCATGCGATCGAGAATTCTCCCTTCAGCATATGGTACTTTCCACCAAATTTTAGCACCTGTCATTGTGCTTGGAGCGTCAGTCTCTCAATGCGTGCTCGCAATCAAGCAAAGTGATGGTCACATTCAAATGCATCCTCTCACGAGCTCTGCAGCCAGTGTGTTGTATTTTCAAAGCTGCAATACCCAGACCGCGCCTCTCTACACGCAATTCCCTTTCCAGAAGCGAAATTGATCCAGGAGCCTACAACGGTCTTGCAAGCCGGGAGCCGGTCAATCGTCGAAGGCATCGGCTGTAGCGATCAAGGATGGTGATCAAGAAGCTGCGAAATTGTGGCCGAAGAACCAAACACGTCATACTAGGATCAGTCGCAACCCAGCCGGGGGGTAGAGAAGGAAGAGGCACAGGCTTTTAGATGCCTTGCTTGTAGTTTGTGGCCATGAATGACTCATCCTGGCTTTGGGAGACTGTTGCTAGACCCTCCTTCTGTCTAACGAAGAGTTGAAAGCGCCACCAAGGCGGTAGCTGGGGGGAGTCGTCGCATCCAGCTGTTAGAAGCAAAGAGGCTCGACGCATTCCAATTCGAGGAGATATCGCTGGAGCCCCCTAGGTAGATAATTCCATTCCCGAATGGTTCAAGCTGGATGGGGTTGGCGCAAGAATGTTTCGGGAAACGTGTGCTTGCATTGCATACAGCTGCACCACTTTGCTGCAGCTGATCGCACCACATTTTCCGCTGATCATTTCCACCGTAAGCTACTCAACAAAGCCTTCTAGCCAACCCAAGGTACCTACTCTGCAACGCGTGGAAAAGGAGCAAGTCAGATACCCACAGAGTGTGGGTAACCATCAGAAAATTTAGGAGAATCTGTTTGGAAACAAATGGCGAGTACCAATGACCCTGTCCGACTTATTATTATTGATGTTTTGCTGATCTATTCTTGCCCGCCTTGGTGAAGCTTGTTATCCTGAAACCGGGAGGATGTGCGGTAACAGTAGCTGCATGGCTAGACGTCCAGTAAGCCGAACTCGGTTAAAGGATCCACAACCATTCGGCGGCTTGCAATCTCTAAGTTGCAACGTACAGTACCACGAGCCCACGCTGATAGCGGCGTAGCTATGCTGTACCATCCTCTTACTCAGCTGTATTTCAGCTTTCTCTTCTCTTATCTTTGTACAATAATGCACTCAGCTAGTCTCTCATTTTGCGTTCCCGCCTCTACCAGCGACAACTCTCTCCTTCGCGTGTGCAAGTACTCCCATGCCGAACCACTTGTCCAAAATACTTCCATCTCAATGCAATCATGTCCACTGACACTCCTCCCCCTGGCCTTGACCTATACGCGGATCAGCGCGGCCGAGTTATCGGAAGCTGCGCGGCGATCATCTCGCTCACCTTCATCTTCGTCTTTCTGCGCCTCCTATCTCGAAAGCTCTCAAGAGCCGGATTCTGGGTAAGATTTCGAATATTCGACTTTCGCAATGTATGCAAAAGGCCAATGCTGACAGGTTCTTCCTTATCAGTGGGACGATCTTTTGACCGTCGTGGCCCTTGTAAGTAAATACTTGAGGATCGCCTTTCTGCTACAAGCAATGCTGATAAGCTAGATTTTCTCAACGGTATGCTGCATCATATGGTTGATAGGTACGTTTGAGCTTTGTGGATGCAGATAGACGCAGACTGGCTTATCTAATTTGAAGAGATCCCCAATGGATTTGGAAGACACATCTACATTTTTGGTCCAGTCCTTAGTATCGAGAAGGGAAAGCTGTTCTTGAAAGGTCTCTTTGTCTTCGAGATCTTCTTTCACACCGCAACGACCCTCGCGAAGTTTGCCATGTAAATGCTCCTTTCCAAGTTCGAACTTAGTTCCCAAAGCTGATCAGTCAACGGCAACCATCAGACTAGCATTCTACTACCGCATCTTCCCAATCCTTCAGTTCAGACGCCTGTTACTCTGGGTTGCAGTGCTTTCCGTGGTCTACATGGTCTCGATCGATCTCACCATTATATTTCAATGGTACGTCGCGCTGGATCTCTGGTGCCACCATTCAAGCTAACAGATATAGTCATCCCGTTCACTACGCCTGGGATCGAGTCGATCCAAGCATTAAAGGTCACTGCTACAATGTTGATGACTTCTTTATTGGCAGCGGCTCAGCCAACGTCGGTCTCAACTTTTTGATCTTCATACTTGTACGGCCCTGTTGTGTTTCGCCCTGGTGGACGATGACTAGTAACACTTCGGCAGCCGATACCACTTTTGTGGCGCCTGCGCACCAGCGTCAAGCAACAGATTGTTTTGACCGTTCTCTTCACCTTAGCTGGCTTGTACGTCTCAGCACAGGACTGGCTTTCTGATTGGCAGCTGACTGTTGACTTAGTGTCGTCTTGGTCAGCATCATCTGGGTGGTTGTTCTCTCCAGACTTGAAGAGGCCGATGTCACGTGTAAACGTACTCTTTAGCTTTGTCTCATTTATCCATAACTGACTGAATATGTAGGGAACTACGTTGACACAGCTATATGGTCCGCATTGGAACCTAACATAGCCGTGATTTGTGCCTGTATCCCCAGTCTTCGACCTCTAGTGAGCGTAGCTAGCCAAGGTTTCGCGAATGCTCCCTTGGTAAGAAGTACACTGCACTCGGCTGGTGGTACATCGTCGAGGCGAATGTGGGAAGGTGGGAAAGGAAAGTCAAGTGATGGCACATTCAGTCAACTTGACGAACGGGATGATCTGAGGCCACTTGGCCACGATGTGTCGGTTCGAGGTGGTAGAGTCAATGACACTCAGCCAGACGTTGAAGTTATGGAACTGCCTCAGACCGGTATCAACGTAAGAACGGAGGTCATTCTGAGTACCAGTGACAGACTGCATTACAATGATAGGCTCTTTTGAATATAATACGGGATTGATCAAGCTACAAGGAGCTTCTAGTCTTAGGAGTCCTATAAGGCGCTCCACTTCCTAGCTAGCCGCTTTTAAAACATCCAAGACCTTTCAATCCAAGTCGCAACAACGATGCATACGATACAGGGCATCAGCATCGACGGCATGAAAGCTTATCCACCAATCAGTAAACACGGCAGCAGTGCCGCATACAGAGTATGGCCCAGTGCATCAATTAAAACGCTGTGCACTGCGCTTTGCAAGCAACTTTAGTGATCTATGTCAAGACCTCCGTGGATGGCAAGTTCTTCGGCCTCAGCACCAAATCCTTCTCCTAGCGGCAACACTATCCCCTGCGGATGTTCTGGAGTCCCTGACAGGAGCCTGTGTTGCTGGTGGAGTGCGAGGCATAGCCGATCAGATTGAATATCATGACTCTTTACTTTGCGCATAGAATTGGAGGGTGAAGCCGCGGACAAGCTCAACTTTGCAAGTCGAAGCTCGCGTTTCTTGTTCATGGAAGACGTGCAACTGTATCAAAATGATTGATGATGTGCCGGAGCTGGAGGGAGTGCGGGGCACAGCACTGCACCTTTAGTGTTTATGCTCCAGCCTAGGAGGGCAGTGAATCGACGTAACGCTTCAACAGATCAGCCGGAAAGTGTCGAAGAAGGCTCACTTGCGGTAGATACCTTAATCTTCCCCTGCAAGTCCTCTCATATACCATCGACTAAGGCAAAGTATGTTTCCACTAACACGTTAGTGAGGCGGACGCGTGTCGGGCTTGCCCGACAGTTTTAGAGCTAGCACTCTCCATCTAGCGAGCTTCCTAAACGGCAATAGCTTTTGATTGATTGATTGATTGATTGAATGACATATACCCAGCCACCGCGCGAAGCTAACCACAGGGGAGAGCCGATCTAGGCATTATAGTAGAGGCACAGGTGTTGGTGACTCGATTTGATGCTGTATAATCTAGCTATCTGGGTACCAAAATCAGCCATGGACTAGCCCAAATACGTGCTCTGGCTGCGGCGGGCTATTCGGTAGTGCCGAGTCACATAAAGCTAGTGAGCCTGCGAAGAAATTTTGCTTCTTGGGAGGGAGCCCCGGGGACTCGCTACAGGACGTCGTTCCTGACGTTACTTTCTGGTCCCGCCAGTAAAGATCGTGACTATGTTCAAGTATTCCTCTCCTTCGGACCCTCTTGTCTTCCTGCCTCATACTCCTATTTTCCACTACCGGGCTCACGCTCTCCACACCCCCCGAGCATCACGGCGCTTTCCAACTGATGATCTGTTTGATGCTACCATTAAGATACTGCTCAAGAAGCTCGAGGCCGAATTCATCGCAGCCGTGTTTGCCCCAACTATCCTGAGGGTGTCCTTACAAAAGGAATGCCAGTGCATCACAACGTGTCGGGAGCATTCGTGTCAGTAGCATACGTGAACCCCGACGGGCCAATCGGGATCGAAGGACATTGTCAACCATTGAAAAAAGGGTTTGAAGAAACCCGCAGTATTTACAATAGAATAATAATACTCAATACTGCCGGGTCAAAACACCGGGAGTAAGTCCCTCCCGCAGGAACAATGCAAAACAAGGCGTCCCCGCTTCGACATATCAGTCACAACTTTTCTCCGCCACTGACAAACCCCCTATAACACTTCTATGTTTCTATTTGGTCCCTGCGTCTCCATAATTTTGCCTTTAACAATAACACGATACTCGCCAAGCCATTGACAAATTACTTCCTTTCTTTTTATTGCGTTGCGAATGACCGCCAACTGAAGTTTCTACTGGTCTACAAAAATATTTTGAATCCGCTCCATTTGACGCCACGGCCAACGGAAAGACGAAGAAATACACAAACTTTAAGGCAGTTTCGTATTCAAGATTCTGACCAATCAAAGTACCATTTGAGCCCAGTCCGAGATTCTCTGCAGCCATCTTCATTCCATCCCTTTTCCGAGCTGAAAAGCCTCAACAAATCTACTTTACACATCATACAACCATAATGGCTACCTCCAGCCCATCCAGGAAAACCAAGTCCACCACCTATCCAGAGCCCCTCACCGTTCCATCCAGTCTCACACACAGACAAACCATCATCATTCTTCATGGCCGCGGCTCCAACGCCCATACATTCGGCCGACCGCTTCTCTCGACCAAGCTCCCAGACGGAAACTTTCAAAGAGCGCTCCCGCTCGCCAAATTATGTGCGCAACAGCTTCGACTCCACGGGTGAATTTAGATGGCAGAAAAATATCTCCAGTCCATTCAACTGATACTCGGCCATTGCGGTCTCGCCTTCTGCGCATTTGACACCTGCTGGACCCAACTCAGCCCAGCCTCAAACGCACCATGGAACAACCTATGCGTAAAGCTCAGCTGCTCGCCAGTAAAGAAACGTCGATTCTTCCCAGTCTATCTAGCACATGGTGGTCAGATGGTCCGACTTTTGCGTCGTCCCAACATAGCAGAACGCACTTCCGCCTGCAAGCTCATCCGTTGGGGAGACTTGTGAAGCACCAGCTTCAAGGAGCTCGAGAGACCTAGCCTCCGGAAGAATACGGTCGAGAGACGCTGCAAGGATCTGGATCTGACGTTGCGGTGTGAGGGCACCGAGGTTAGCGGCATCCTGCTCGAAAGATTAGGCTGCCATGATGACTCTGCGGCTTGATTACTTGAACTGCGAGTTTTCGTCCGTCTTTGGAAAATGGTGTAGCGGGTAGGCAGGTCACTCACAAGACCACCGTCATGGCCTTGCTGGTTATCGATGAAGATTTTACTTGAACATCGCTTTTTATACTGAAAAGCCGTTGCCTGCTTCAATACAAAGTCACGGGTTTCGCGACGAAGCGTCAAGTAGTATATGATGTTACATGTATCAGGTGGTCCGATGCGATCATCTTTCAAAGACCGGAGATGGTCTCATATTCGGCCTCTACCTTACCCGGTCCAACATGAGGGGAGTCATTTTTAACGCAAATCTTGCGGACCCGCGCACCGAAAACCTCATTGTCGATGGGTGAGTCTGAAAAACCCCTTGGTAAACTAAGCCAACGTTCGTGGTGGGGAAACCAACCTTTGCCTCGCTTGTGGGAGCTAAATCCGTTCGGAACGGCGTCCATGCCTTATGGAGCGACTTTATGCCCGCCTATTAAACCCCTAATCGTTACTAGACAGAGAGGCGTCTTTAAAAGACTCCATAGAGCCATTCTCAAAAACGACCTGGGCGTTTCCGAGATTGTAGAGGTTGATTGGTTGTATTTTGCCCCGTTGATGCGACTGGCTCATATACTCGAAGTGGTCAAAACAAGTGACGGATTTAAGCGAGGCGCTATTTTGCGGCTATTTATTCCACTCTCCTTCTTCAATACCACTCCACAAATTACATAGCTATCGCCTCCTAAAGTAGTCAAAATTGAAGCTATACATAATGGCTGTCTTACCCTAAAAAATTGCGCCCGTAGGATTACCACTTCGTTGAAAAACCCCTGTTCTTAATGACATCTCGACATCTTTCTGGCATACTATGTACCCACTTGACAAAGGCCCCTCTTTCTACCAATTAATTCCACTCAAAGACCGCTACTGGCTATATATCTTTTGAGGTAGTAATTATTCTTTTATACGCTTAGATTTTCTATTTACAACACTTCCACATATACTCATCGGGATTTAAATTAGGGCTTAATGGAGGCCACACTAGCGTCTCAATACCATATTGCCTTAATTACAATAACGTCTCTTTAGAACCATGGATTCCTGCGCCGTCTTGCATGAATATCGGCCGATATCTCATCTTCTTAAGTTCGCGATACCAGGGTAGTACGTGAGGCTTTAGGATCTAATTGATGTAATCCGTGCTGGTAATAGACTTCTTCAGACTACCCTTACTAAGACCGCGTTTTGTAGGCTTAATACTCCCTGAAAGCTCGCATAATTCGCTTACCTAATCACCACAGAATCCGCCCCAAACCATAAGAGATTGGTGTTCTGAATGCTTGAAGTTCTAACAGCAATCTAAACAGTGACGTTTATCGGACCGTCGAGTTATAAATATACGATTACGCCTTCCGGTCTCAAACGAGCTCTCATCCGTAAATATCATACGTATTCAGTCTTCTATCGTTCAGTGTAGATGTTCCCTTGCCCACTTAAGTCTTTTCCGTCTATTGATCCATGATACGAGAGGTTTAGGGCATGCGATGCAGCGTCGAAAGCCGACTTTGCGGAGTGCGCGCCGAATAGTAGATTGAGAAGTAACGATCTCTAGATCTGCAGCCAATTGTAGATAGAATTCACGCCTACTATCTGGAGAACTCGTGACTGCACGTACAAGCTGTCGCAGGTCTCGAGCGTTGATTTTTTGAGGCGCCCCTGAGGTAGGGTTTCGACTGGAACGCGTGTCTCCGGATCTTAGGGTTCTTCTAATAGTCGGTGTGGGAATGTTGGTGTCTCGTTTGATCTGTGGAATAGTCTAACCCTTTATATCATGGTAATCAATGATATATTTGCGTTGTGGGGTCGTAAGATGCTTATTTGGTATGTAAGGCTCCATTTTGTGGTAGGTTGTAAAAATGATGGTGGGGGAAATCGCGAAAAAACGCGTAAATCCGTCATTTGTTTTGACGCGTACTAGTACGCTCTCCAGAAGCCTTCAACGACTTGGAAGACAGCACATGCGAACAGCTGGTCACGTGTCTGCTCTTTTTCTTCTTCCCGAAGGCCTGGGAATAGTCTCAGCCGCCTTTTGGAATCTTCCGACTTGCCTCCATCCAAAAGCAGGGAGTTAAACTTCTCGTGGGTTGTTTTCTCGCCGTAGCCGGAGATATAAATGAACTTGTTCTTCATTTCATAGTCAATGCGGTCATCTTTTAGTCCAAAGTCATCTACATACTGGTGGAGTAAATAGAGGTTCGCTGGGATACGCATTGCTCCACCATCGCCATGCAAACCGGGTGCAAATGTAAGGACCGCAAAAGTCTTCACACGACCACCCACTCTAGATGACGATTCTGTCGTCACCGTACAGCCAGCTTTCTTCAACTCGTAGCTGTCGCATAGCCCGGAGACACCAGCCCCAACAATTGTCACATGGATTTTGTCAGTATCCAGATGGTTTTAGTAGAAGCTCAGAATCTTACGGTAGAATCATTGGTGACTTTCAGTGAATTTATGAAGCTTGTTATTGGCTTCCTCAACTGTTGAGTTCGGGTTCAGCTGACATGCAGAGATTCAATACTGGCAGTGTGCTTTCGGATCGAAGGTCCTGGCCTAGGAACCATGCATCGAGAACTACTGAGGACATATTTGGCCCAAGGGGTTTGGAAGCTACTGTAGTGGCGAGGGGCGAGATAGCCTTCTTATGTATAGTCGGAGCTCGAATAGGAGGATTAGTGTCATAGCAATTTGTGAGGACTGAAGACACGGACCACCCTTTATCGCCGCAGTGAGACTGTGGGTTAGGGGGTCCATAACCGAAACAGATAGCCACAATTGCTAAATTGAGTAGCTACCAAAGATCATGGAGTGTAGCCAGAAATGTAGCCGCAAACGGAGATTTATGCTGGCTGAAAGTCCCACAAATAGTAGTCCTGCACCAATGACTCTTCATTCGGTTTCTTAGGATTCATATTCCAGTCCCCACTCTCCCCTCCTGTATTGTTATGGCTCCACTCCGGGTATAGGCCGTGTATGCATGGGAATCTTCTTTGCGCTGGGGCACAAGATATTGGCTGTTCTGGCCTGTCAGCCCGGGTGCTGAGGCGGCCTAATCGCATATACACATATACAATTATGGCCTTGCGATGAGCTGGAGACGACTAATTACCCCTTCACCACAGCAAAGCTTCAACTGATGCTGAAGCGAACGGATGTCGCGCTGGACCAAACCTCGCGAGCGACATGAGCTGGGGTGGAGCCCATGCCGCTCTCCAAGAGTTACAATCTCGGCGTCATGACCACAAACTGCAATTGTTCCTCAAAGCCGCAGCGTTGCACCCTCATAACCAACAGAAGTCTTGTTGCGGTTGCGCCATCCATCGCCAGGGATTGAGTGGATTGAATTAGATTTTACAACTGGCAGGAGCTGCAGCTTGTAGGCTTTCCCCTCTCGAGAGGCTACATCAAGCCAAACGTGTCTGATTCAACCGAAATGCCAAGAATGTGGCTGGATGAAGACCTCGGAGCAGTCAGATGCCGCGTCACTGGAGTTCTGTGGCTGGCGGAGTTTCAGGAAAAGCAAGAAACAGTAACGACAGCGGCGACCAAGGCAGAATATTGAAGTGCAAGTCTTGTTTGATGCTCACATCTCTTAGGTATACATCCTGACGTTACTAAGGGTAAGATGGTTGCGAGCAAACTATGTTGCCTTGCTAGATATGGCTTGCGGTGATATGATGATGGATAGTGCATACAAGTAGCTCGAGGAGTAAGACCAGTACCGTAGTTTAGGGTTAGGGCTGACTTGAGATTGATGGAAGAGTACTGAGAACATTAAAGAGCCACTCTGTCTACTACCTAGTACCTACATCTCAGGTCGACAATCTCACTTCTGATACTTAGAGGCTTGAAGCTGATCCTTCACTCCAGCAACGTATCCTCCCATTTGCCTTTTCCAGGCATCGCCATCATCGCTATCCACCAGGCGGAACCAGCAGCCACATCGCAATGGGCAAGCCAATGCCTCCGAAGCCTTTGCCAGGCGTGTACAGAGATGATCCAAACCGCGATGACGCTGCTTCAACCTCTTCGGCTGTTCTCATGGATGACATGGACTACCCTGACTCCGACCTGCCTGCATACGAAGATGTCCCAGCAACACCAAGACCTACACTAGCTCGCAACCAGGAGGCACAATCGTACGCTGACTTCCTAAGAGAGCGCTGATGTTATTCTGCGCGTCTGCTGAACCTCTTCTTCAAGATATCTTATCCACCCAACACTGCCAGCCTCGCACATCTCCCGGGATGAAACGACAACGACGACCCACTGGCCGCTCTACAGCCAGGACGCCACGTTCCTCACAGAAATGCTGAAAGACGAAGCGAAATACCCTCCTACATTCACTGCTCGGATGGTGGGCACACACTCCGAAACGACAAGGAAGAAGGACAGCAAAGAGAAGGTCACAGTCACGGATTTCGACGTGCGCCTCGACATGACACACCTCCTCATCCCAGGTCCGAATACCCCAGCTAGCCTAGTACGGCAAGACTTGGACGTCCCCTTACCTCAATCCAAGGCCCATCGCGGCAACCGGACCCAAAGCGACTGCCCTCAGGAGTCGGCCCCGGACGCAAACACCTACATCCAATCCTACATCTCCTCTCCCTTCTCCGTGCGCTCCTTCACTCTCGACCGGCGCATCGTGTACCATGATTCTACCGCCCTCGAAGCCTTCATCACTTCCCTGGTCGGCTCGACCAACTACCGCGGCCACCTGAAAGTCACGTTTCCTATTACGCACAACCGCGTCACGGTCTACAGTCCCTGCTGGCAGAACGACTACCGCGAGAAGTTATGGCTACGGTGGATGTTCTACCTCACATTCCTCTGGATCATCAGTTGGCCGTACCTATGGTTCATGACACGCCGCTGGGAGGTAGTCACGGCCGTATTCCCGTACAGCTGTGCGCCGGAATGTGGAAACAGGCAATTTGTCACGAAGAGCGAGGAGGCCTTCTACAAGCAGTGGAAGAGTAGCATAAGACGCGCGGTGGTGGGCAAGAAGCAGGGGTGGATTGATGAGGAATACAAGCTTGCAACCGAGGAAGCAATATCGCAAGCTGGGCCGGATGGACTGAGTAGGATACCCAGTACGGGCAATGCGACAGCGGATGGGGCGTTGGGATTCTTGCGGCAGGCTGTCAATGCGGGGCGGGATGTTGCTATGGCTGGGGGTTGGGGTGCGGACAGCTGGTAGTTTCGGGCGTACGAGTGGAGCACAGGGGTCGAGACAAGGTTATTTTAACATTGGCATGGTGTGCGAATGAAGGGTACTCTTGCAGATTGATCAAATGGTCTCTTTTGACCCTTGCGCATTGCTTTGCTAAGGCGGTAGCCTCCACTAATCTCGCATCTCAGGTCCCATATTGAAAAAAGAAACTCTGGGAACGTGAGCGCCAAAAACCAAACTGCATGGACACAAACCAAGCAGCGCAGGAAAAGCCCGCGCTGCATGAACCAGCAATTGCGTTCGTCTTCATTAGCTTTCTCCCAAGCCTCAAACCTCAACTGCGCACACAAAACCCAACAAGCGCAGACAAACACCTCCGCATTCCAAGTCAGCAAAATCCCGCCTGACCTTGCCAATCCCATAGCTGCCCACGTCCACAGCACATGCCTTTGCCACCCACACCGCGATACGAAACGACACAGCGTGTTCCCAGGCACGTCGCACCACCACTCACTCATCCAAGCAACTCGCGTACGCCAGCAGCCTCGCCTTCCCCAGGAAATCATGCTCGGGTGTGTCACGGAAGCGGCGGCGAAGAAGCGCTAGCGTGGAACGATGGACTGTTCTAATCTTTTTCGGCGACCCCTGGTCAAGGAGACTAGTTTGAGAAGAGGACCGCTCAAACAGTGGTGGTGGTGATGGTGAATGAGGGGCCCATAGAGCTAGGTACGCCCGAAAGCATTGTGGCGGGAGTGGCAGTGAAGGGGCAGACGTTTGTCCAAACGTCGAATAAAGGTCATTGTATGGTTCATCAGCTTGATCCAAATCTTCGGGCGTATAACAAGGCCGCTAGTCTAGGTACAGCCAGAACATCCAACATCCTACCTACCATCATTCGACGGCGCCAGAAGGATGTCCCACAAATCCGTCCTTCCCAAACAATTCCGCCACACGCAGGTAGGTCTCATCGTCCTTCATCTTATGCGGATTAATAGCCGCGGCGTCCATGGGTCCCAAATCTTCCCGCTCCTGACTCAGTCTCGTCAGATTATCCGTCACATCAAACGCGCGGGTATCATCGAGATCCACAAATTCGAACTTGGCGTCCGCATCATACAGCAGGCGGCCAACGAGGACATCCTCGGGGACGTTGGTGATGAGCTTCCGGGCCTGCGTTTCGACGAGAATCCGGACCAAGTCCCACGACAGGGTGTAGAATTGCCCGCCGGGGGTGCTGAAGTTGCGGTCACTGTGCTCGAGGCGGAGGCGGCGGGCGATGAGGGTTCCGTTCTGATCAGCAGCGGCGGCGTGGCGATCGATGCGCGGTCGCAGGAACTCGTGGTAGAAACGCTCGGCGTCAACGAAGCTGTCATCGTCGATCTTGGAGACGAACTTCCATGATGGCTTTCCAGACCCAAGCAAGTGCTTCAAAAACTCCACTGGCTTGATGAACATAGCAACCTTGGTGCTCTCCTCCAGGTGGTCCAACATTATCAAATCGCCGTAGGTGTCGTTCTCCTGCTTGATGAGCGATTGCCATAGCGGCGGCGGCTTGGCTATGAAGAAGCAAGTCTCGAAGGCAGGGTTGGGATAGAGAGTTTGCCAAGTGGCGCGGATGACATTCCGCCGCTGTTGTGAAAAGTAAGCAGACATGGTTGCCAAGAGCCATGTCGGTTGTTGCTGCTCTTCATGGTGGGAGAGAGGTCCTTGTTGCTGGGGCCGTTGAGGGCGATGACGGAGGGCTTGGTGGGGTGATTGGTTGTGAGTTCGGCTGAAAGGCGACGGGATTGAGAGAGTGTTCAGGCTAGGGCGCGGAGTAAGTGCTAGGGCAGTGAAGAAGACCAGTACAACGGCCGAGAGAGAGATGTAGATGCTTCGCTGAGAGAAGTAAGGCATAGAGGCACGGCTCTTCGAGGTTGAAGCTCGGAGATGAGTACCCAGGCGGGGGTTTGTGGTACAGTGGTATTTAGAGGCGGGAGGAGGAGGAGGAGGACCGTTTCCGTGGGAGTGAACCTGGATCACTCGTAGGAAAGTTGATTTTGTTCCAATGTTGGTACCAAGCACGGAAATATTCGCGCCATGCGAGGCCACGAGGACGGAGATTGCATTGACCTGATATTCGTCGTACATGCATTAAGTGGAAGCCTGGTAGCCACTCAGCGTGGCCCCGAGGTGCATTATCTTTAAAACGTCCTTTCCGATGCAGTTTCAAATGAGATGAGGCATCGAGAGTATAGCAACTGGATATGGGATGGGTTGGAGTTGGAGTCGCACCATTTTTCAGATGCTGTGCATCTGTCAATTGGGGTGAGGTAAGCACTAAGAAGTAAAGTAGCGAGTACTGGAAATAGCCACTCATATTTATTATTTGTTTTGAAAGGATTCATGCATGCGCATACTGACAAGGCTTACTCGCATCGAGTAATGCCTGGTTTTTCGTCCAAAGTTGGTCACTCGTCTCGAACTCTTGGCTAATATGCCTCATATGTGATCAACCGCCTTCCGCGCATAAACTTCCACCAACGGTTCGGCGTTCTCGCCCTGCATGTTCCGTTGGTCGTTGGATACGGAGACGTGCACTCTTGACTGGTTCTTGTCCCACCACCTTTCCTGTGAGCCCTGTTCCCCCCGTTACCAGGCCCTTAAAACTTGACACGGAGATACCTTTTCTCCCGATGAATGGCACCCCGGAACAGGGCTCAAGGGACAGCTGGAAGCATCATGGCCAGCGAGAGGATATAATAATCTCCGTATTTGCTTTGTACATCCCTCACTTGTAGCAGGAGGTGTGGTTTTTCGGTGAGCAAGATAAATGTGATAGAACGTGATTGGATACGCTAGCTAAGCCGTTTCTTGTTGCACCCAATTAACTCTGATTTTAAGAAGCTGTCAAAGTTGCAGTAGTAAGGTATGTATGCTGTTGAGATGCAACCATTAAATCATTACACACTACTAGTATTATTGCGCCGACAATGCTGTGTGGTTGATATGTTTAGCGATCCCGGAGCTCTGTGTTTCAGTGTGTGTGTGTGTTTGTGCGGTACAATAAAAAAAAAGGAAGGAAAGAAGAAGAAAGACAGAAAGAATTGCCTTATTAGTACTCGGCTATCTCCGAGCATTTCTTGAATCTGCGACAAGTCCTCGCTATATTGATCTTCGTCAGAAAATCCATCTCAATGTTTCCCTACGAACACACACCTGACTGCACCACGACCATGACCATGACCACGACCCTGCGCGGCTCTAGCATGTCGTTTCTGCTCATTTGATCACCTCAAAAGCCTGATTACGGCGCGCCTTCGCCACTTCTCCATGTCGTGTCGACGCCTCCTCAACCTGCCAACATCCATATCCGACCTGCTTCATCAAGGTTTCCACCATATCGACCCGCTTTAAAAATCGGCAATGGAGCAGACATCCGAGTATCCTCTTTCTACAGGCAAATCCTGGGTAACGCAGCTGACATTGACATATTGAAGATGTCATCCGCGCCACTTTCCTTCCTCACCCCTCATACATCCACCCCGATTAAGCTGGGACCACCTTCCCACTCCCTAGCATAGGGTCCTTGCGGTAAAGGCTGACTTCCACCAAGGGAAAGAACTTCAACGGTATACGCCTCAGCAATTTCACAGCTGTGCTCATACAATAACGGACGGGTTACAAGAGCATTACAACCAGATGAGCTCTCGATCAATGGAAGCACTGCCTATGGAACCAAACACAATTCAAGTAACAGAATCATACCCCAAGGATGCAGGCCTTGCCGGCGTTTAGTCCTGTGCCCATGCAGAAACAAGGGTGGGGAGTCGTAATAAGCTACAGTGATGGATGAAGTGGAGGCGCAAAATGCGTAGTGGAAGTTGCTGCGAGGAGACCATTGAGATCCGTTGCTACAGCACAGCATGACTGGTACCAAAGAGCGAGAGCTCCAATAGGATAGGCGGGATACCAGAATCTACAAGACTCCGGGTTGATTGGGATGAATTGATAGGGTCTACCAGAGGGCTCCTGTGTGTCTCGTGCTCACAAAGGCGCAAGGCGTCATCTACCGCTTTAAAGATCAGATGGCTCGCGGCACTCAGTAGGCTTTCTCTGCCTTCGCAGTCTCCGGCCCTCTTTTGTCGGCTGTCTGAACTTGCGGTTCCCACGTGAAGATTTGGCGGGTCACCAAACATGGCGTCCGTTGATCTTTTGGTCTTCACAGCTCTCTTTCTCTCCCAGCGAACTAGCGGTTCAGTATCACTTTCTCTGTCATCCTGCAGTCTGCGCTTTCAACAAGAGCCATCGTTAAACAACATGGTCTAACAAGCAGTGGCGATGTACTTTTCTGGAGCGTGCCTGCTACCCAACTCTTGAGGCGTGCTGACCCAGATCCGACCCTACGAGAAGAGCACTAAAGATTAACAGTAGGGCGGAAACCTGTTGTTTTTTCCCCCCTAAAGCATAACGCAGCACTGTGAGCATTAAATAAGGCTTTCTCTCTAGGCGTTCACCCCGCCAATCGCGGTTCGCTTAGGTAGCTTCCGAGGATGCTGTGCCTAAGGTAGCGGCAATTCGGGGTTGGCCGCCCCCGGAAGCTAGGAGTGGCTAGGGGCGCTCGGATTTGCTGTGCTCGCGTGCAAGCTCTTGGGCGCCCCCAGCTATTTTTGTCCGATATTGTGAAGTGCCAGCTCACCTGCGGAAATTGCGGCTGAGCCAGTATCCCAAAGTTGGCAAGATTACATTATTCGGTGCTTGGATGATGTGGACAAATTTTACTGGTTTGATCCATCAGGAGGCGGAGTCTCACGTGGAAGGTGGGATCATGCATATCAGCCACGCATGATTCCTGCAGCGAAGATCCTCCGGCGTGTTTCAGCTCCCTCTCATGACTAGAACATTTTCTTTCCTCTAGCTCTTGGCCCCTGTTCCTACAAATACTGATTACTCCATTCTCTTCGTCGTTTCAACAACCGTCTGTCTCTTGTCTGTCTCCCGGGTAAGAAGTTTCTTTTCACTTCTTGTCTGTTCCGATGGCTTCACGAGGGTCTAGCGTGTCTAGTATATCCAGCGTGTCTAGCATATCCAGCGTATTCCCTATTGAAAGACGGACTGCGGATTCTGAAGGCTTATTACATACTTGCGCGAACACTGTCTCTACAAGCGAGCCTGAACAGCCGGGGGTCGACCCGAGAGCAGCGACCGATCGAGGCAACACAACGGTGTCCACAGAGCCACTGCTCCAGCAGAAGGATTCTTGTCAACATGATAATACAACCGCAGATTCAGAGACGAAAGACCCCGTCGAAACCCATGGGATGCACTACGGCAGAAGATCTTGGTACCATGATTGGTGGTTCTGGGAAATTGCTGGTGCCCTCCTGAGTCTAGGATCCACCGTCGCGATTGTTGCTATGCTTGCCGTTTATAACCATCAGCCAGTGCCAGTCTTACGTTACGGCATTACCTTGAATGCTATGCTGTCTGTGTTGTCAACAATAGCCAAGGTAAGTCCTAAAACAGACGCCATGTAAAGTCTTAGAGAAAAACGAAAAATTGAAAATACTCACAATAATCTTGAATAGACGTCGATGCTGCTAGCAGCAACTGAATCCATCGGTCAAGCGAAGTGGCTTCTATTCCGAAAGGAACGTCAGAACCTGATAGATTTTAACACCATTGACGAAGCGAGCCGAGGGCCTTGGGGAGCTTTCCAGCTCCTCTATCGTTTTTGGGATGGGAGGACGGTATTGGCGTCGGCAGGAGCCTTCATCGTCCTTGCCTCCTTGGCTGTAGACCCCTTCGCTCAGCAAATCCTAAGCTACCCTTCAGTCTCCAATGTTACAAACGGCTACAGGCACCCGATTTTTCCGCAGGTTTCATCTTGGAACTTATCGGGAGATGTGTCTAACGAGTCTGGGAATAGGGATTCAAGTACGTTCCCTTCCAATTAATTATCGATGGATCAGGGCGACTGATCGAAACAAGCATCCGCTTTGCCGCTAGCCCTAAAAGCGGCGATTTACAACAGCCTTCTCGGGTTGGGGACTGCAAACTCGACTCTTAACATCAACTGCCCGACTGGGAACTGCACGTTTGACCGATCCGATACCCTTGGTTTTTGCAGTACTTGTAGCGATGTTACAGCGGAGGTCGTCAAGGAATGTAACCTCACACCCACCACCGACACCACTAGCGAAATCAACTGCACCTACTATCTTCCTGGCGAGGTGAATGTTACGGCTCAGGACAAACAAATACCTGATGATTACGGATCTGCAGTTGCAGAATCTTCCCTGTTCAGGATGACTACTAACATGAGCGTCGTAGCATTGCCCCGGTATGAAACTCTTTACAGCAACGATCCTAGCGTAGTTAGGAGTCTTGATGACCCAGACTATTTAATTCCCGCGCCCGCAAAAACGATGTTCCAAGGCGTCGCTGATCCAATACTAGCATTTGGTCGCATCGTTTTCAACGGCAGCCACAATCCGATAAGCGCTATAGGTGGCAATTTCATGCCTCCTGCAACAGAGTGTGCGCTGTATTGGTGCGTTCAGACTTTGGACACTTCCATTCAAAACGGTGTTCTCAACCAGACTGTTGTTTCGAGCTGGACAGATAGCTCCGCTTTGGATACGTCTCATGTTTCTCTCCGATCCAACTTTACCTCGACTGCAGGAGGAAAAGGCTCGGCCAATGGCTACTACGTCAGTCCCATGGGCAATTTACCACTCGTGAGATTTCTCGAAGACGCATTCACCGCCACTGTGAAAGGTATCAACCTGCCCGGCATGGGGTATACCGAACAGGAGCTCCTCGACCTCACCATCTACTCCTCGGATATTGCGCAAGCACTATGGCACGCCGACGACCTAGACATCCTCATGAGTAACCTAGCCAATCGCATGACCGACGCTCTTCGAAATATTCTCCCAGACCCTGCCTGTGAAAACCGCGGCAAAGTCTACACCACTCGGACATACGTTCTGGTGACCTGGCCTTGGCTGATATTGCCCGTCGGACTTGTACTCGCTTCATGTATGGTGCTTCTTGCCGCTATCATCTCTAGCAGCAGACATCAGACTATCGTGTGGAAGTCGAGCAGCCTTGCGGTTCTATTCCATGGCCTTACGAGCGGTGATGGAGGATGCGGACACTCAATGTACAGAAAACAGATGGAGATGACGGCGGAAGAGATGAAGGTCCAGCTGGCTGGAAATACCAATGGTGACCTGCGTCTTGTGGAGTTGAAGCGGCAGTCTACTAAGGCTTTGAGCTCACATAAGGATTGGTGGAGAAAGTGGTTGGATACTGGGAAGCAAAGGTCTTGAGCGCGCAGCTACTAAGATGTGCTAGAGGGGGCCTTTTTCATCTATCGAGGGTCATTTGATGGATTCCGACCTTACCTTTGGGTCACAATGAATCTTAACTATATTGAACATGTACTCACTCTACCTGGGTTGTTTGGAAGGTCTTTCCAAATTCTGATCACAGTTTTGGGACCTTTCTCATTCTTCTCGCTTAGCAAATAGGCTTTCTCGCTTGGTGCGGCTGGGGTTTGGGTAAGCACTAACAAATTAACAATGTTTGGGGGCTGAGGAAATCCCTTGGGTTTCAGCTCTCAGCCCTGATCTAAGAATACCCACACCGGGAGGAATGGAATACTTATGCGAACTGCCTCCGCCATGATGTATGCGTAATGCGCTTAACGAGTTACATACCATATGTCAATCTTGGCATCTTTGATGCCTTCCAAGTTCTAGCAGGCTCAAACGGGAACTCGTCAAGAAACGCGTCTAGCGCCGTCAACGCGTCGAAGCGCTAATGTTCCAACTCGGGTCGAGCCAGGACTGGACCACATACAATCTACTCCTTTGTCATTTCCTATCGACATGGAATGCCAGGTCATATGAATTCGCTACTGTCCTTTTCACCGCTGCTGCATTTCCCCAAGGTCTGAGTGCGGCTTCATGGATGTAAGCATTGACGAACTCCCAGCTTTGTGCATTCTTCTGACCGTGCCGATTAGCGGCATCACAACCAGTCTTGCCATCATAGTCTTCGCCTCGTCCTTGGGTCGCTGGGTTGATCATGCGCCGTCGCGGCTTCGGACTCTCTTGACCACCGTCTCTGTCAATCGTGTTGTTGTGATCGCGGCCTGTGTCTGCTGGGCCATCATCATCACCAAGGACGTTCAAAAAGAAACTCCCACGTCAACTGATGCCGCCATTGGTACCACTGACGCTCGACCATTGAAGCTGCACCAGTGGAAAGACGCCATCTTTCTCCTGATCCTCGCGCTGGGGATTCTGGAAAGATTGTCTCGACTAGCTAACCTCATCTCCATCGAGCGTGACTGGGTCCCATCTATGGTCGCTGCCGGCACTACATACAAGCAGCAAGCGCCTTACGATCTTTCGCGTCTCAACGCGGTTATGAGCCGCATAGATCTCATATGCAAGCTTGGCTCTCCAATAGCGATCTCGGCCTTCATGTCTGCCACGAACTCGCCTCGGCTAGGAGCTGTTCTGCTAATTGGCCTCAACTTCCTGACTTGGCCATTCGAATACTGGACGGCAAGACTGGTCTGGCAGGGCAACGAGCAGCTGCGACAAGAAAAAGTGGTCGATGGGTCTGGAGTCAAAGAGTGCGCAATTAGCGGACGCAACGATGGCGCTGGCTTTACCTTGCACAACCTCCTCGATGCCCTCAAGGCTACATCAGGCTGGATTGTCCAGTACGGACGCAGTCTGCAGCAGTACTTCGGGACGGAAGTCTGGATGCCGTCGCTGGCCATGTCGAGTCTGCACTTCTCGGTCCTGACCTTCTCATCCACCCTCATCGTCTTCCTCGTCAACTCCGGCTTCTCCATGACGCTCATCACATGGGCCGAGGTCCTGAGCGCCGCATTCGAACTGAGCAGTACCTTCCTTTTCCCCTGGGCCGTGCGCCTTCTTGGCAACAACGAGCGCACCGCATACCAGCCCCTCTCGGACGGCGAGACCACGAGCACGCCCAACACCCCTCTACCCTCCACTTTCTCCGTGCACGAGGCCATCCAAACCCACGACTCGAACTCCACCTCACAGAGCCAAACCGCCGGCGTCTCGCGCCTCGGTCTCCTATCCATCACCCTCACCCTCCTCACCCTCATCCCCTCCGTCCCCGCCATCTGGCGCATCTCCACCACCTGGCCCACCACCCCCAACTCACCCACCGCCTGGCAAACCCACACCGCCACCGCCCTCCTCATCATCATCTCCGTCTCCGCCTCCCGCCTCGGTCGCTTCACGGGCAGTCTGTGCGCGCAGCAACTGGCGCAGAGCTGCGTGGGGCCGGCGTCGCGGTCCACGTTCGCGGGCACGGAAGCGAGTCTGGCGTCGACGTTCGGTCTGGCGCATTATGCGGCCACGGTGGTTTGGAGCTCGCGTGAGGAGTTCCGGTGGGTTGCGCTGAGTAGTGTTCTGGTTGTGGCGGGCGGGGCGGGGTTGTACGCGTTTTGGCTGATGGGTCGGGGGAGGTTGTTGGGACGATGACGGGGGTGGGTGGGCTGGTTGTGAGATAGATACCCTTATCTGTGAATATCTGTTCTTATAGTGTGTCAGAATGATGACAATTTTCAAGCGTCAGCTTGGCATTAATCATAGTAATTCTTCTGCGAATGCATTTGCGAAATGATGAAGATCGAGCACCTAAACCGTCGACGAATGCAATGTTCTTGAGCCGACGTCGCAATGTTATCCAAATGTTTGCACTCTTGCAAGAACCATCCAAAAGAGGCCCCCTCGCCCGAACAAGTTCGCCAACAAAGGAAAAGAGTCGCGCGCATCACATTTATTATGCCGTGCCTTTAGCCCCATCTCTCGATATACAACCAGCAATCAATAGATTTCTCCTTGTCCCTTCTGCCATCTCCACCATCACAACGGTTTCCGCCAGGATAGGCTGCCCATACACGACGCTGGAAATTTGCGAGGAGAGGACTCCTGATTGACTGATCTACGGCAGCCTGTCTACACGAACAATACACGCAGATTTAAGCGCCGTATGCACTTTAATATCGAGAGGCGAGACTGTTAACCCTGGATGGGTGAGCAGCGCGGTCCGGTTCTTCGCAGCAAAATTTGGCATCCATTGTTACTACGCCAAAAGCGAGACAAACGGGTTTCGTTAGCAGTCAGGCCATCAAACGTGGGGAAATTCGCGCCAGCATATACTATTCATACTATATCAGCTCGGATCCGGGAGGCCGAACACGAGCAACACCCCCATACGCGCTGGCTGTTCGGATGGGTGGTCAAGTGTGCAATAAGTTGCGATTCTTGTTCCTGTAGACTGCTCCGCCGCCCCAAGAAATTATGAACAAGGAAGACCACTTTTTTTGGCGGAGTGCCAGTTTCTCATCGTTGCTCTACGATCAAGTGGTTTACATTTCGTTGAGGATAAAGCCGAGATCAATCTCTCTATTTGCGGTCTGGTTTACAAAACAAAAGCAGTTGAACGACACAAACCCGGCTCCTCGTCCTCAAGATCGAGCAGGGACTCAGCTCTTCACTCCCTTCCGGTACTCACTTTGTGTGAACCCCGCTCGTGACCTAGATATGGAAGCCATAGGCACCACAAACGTCGCGCTTACTGGTGGGTTTGATCCGGAAGAAGTAATTGCAACTTGTATGGATGCGCAGACGCTAGGTCCACGGTGGTGGATATGTAGTACACAGTGATGAAAATTGAACATGCTAGAGCCGGGCAGTCAATGCGCGAATTGTCGTGGAAGGTTTCCGACACCGCTGCGGAAGATGCTGCGGACGGCTTGGGGTTCATGTTCGCAGATGGCAAACGATGTACGAAAGCTTCCGGGAGAGAATTCGGTCGTATCGCGGGTGAAGACTTAACCAAAACGGTAAAGCGAGGGGTAGGTGAGCCGTAGGCTGTTATTGTCTTTCAAGTCTACTGGATCAGGGACAATCTTGCTGAGCCCGACGGGTAACGAAGTGAGACTACGCGGCGTGTTGTTCGTGTCTTGGAGGATATGAGATGAATGAGCGGACGATTATTCTCGCCATACTGGTGTTATCAACAAGAAGGAGTGGGACTGTGTGACGCCGAGGCTGTATTATTTCGAGTATAGTATGTGAGGGATGGGACGACGAAGCATGGTGGAGTATTGCTGAAAAGCACGCGGATTTACGAGTATTTTGACCCGGAGCAGCTTGTTAACCAAGAGTTCTTCATATCCCCTTCTATATGAATCAAGGAGACCGGGCTTGGTGGACCGCATAGCTTGATATTGGGCTGGTCGGATTATTGTACGCTTTGTATGCCTTATCTGGTCGATGTGTGCGGTGCAGTGGTCGACGGTATATGCAGAGCGCTTCGTGACGCTTACAAAGCCGCCGTTGGCGCTGCGGGGTCAGACGGCTGGCTTGGCTAGGCTTCGCATGTTGATAAGAGCATCATCAAGTATTTGAAGTTGAGAGGGTATCTTCTACTCAGGTTTCATTCCCGGGGGGTGCTTCCCTCGGGCAGGACCAACAAAGGTCGGCACGCCAAGCATTGAACAGCGCTAGTGATAGCCCTAGCCCTATTTTCGGAAGACGACCCCATCATATCTAAAAGTAGGCAATCTTTAGGTGGGCCGTTACCCGAGCGCTTGGCGCATAGGCGGGACCAAGTTACCTTACTTTAGTCTTGAGATCATCACCTTATTGACTGGCGCACTCGTGTATCATAAGACAAGCAAAATGCCCACACGCATGCTCCCAATCTGCACCGCTTGTGGCTCCCAGTTTGACGCTGAAGCCTTATCACCGCCGGAACACTGCAAAATCTGCGATGTGAGCATACTGAGGAAGAGAAGAAGAAAGGACACGATGCTTCTTCCTGCCGACGACTTACATTGAGCGCAGGATCCGCGCCAATTTGTCCCACCGTCCGGGCAATCTTGGACCACACTGAGTGCGCTCAAGGAAAACCACGAGAACAAATGGCAACAGGATTCCGTCGATGCTCGGGTATGGTCCATTTGGACAGAGCCGAAGGTGTGTCACGATTTATGGTATGACATGGGCAAGCAGGTAGTTGACTGCGTTTGAAAGTTCGCAATTGGCCAACGATGCTTTTTGCTCGAGACAGAAGCCGGGAATGTACTCTGGGATATGATCACCCTTCTCGATGATGAGACCATCGAATTCGTCTGCTCTTCCCCTCCATTCCGTTGCGAGCAGCAAGGGCTAAGCATTATTAGATCAACGCCAAAGGCGGCATAAAAGCCATCGTGATCTCTCATCCACATTATTACACCACATACGTAGATTGGGCACAAGCTTTCAACTGTCCCGTCTACGTATCGAAGGATGACCAGGAATGGCTCTGTCAGAAGCCTCCGACGCCGCAAACGCTGCGACTGATCGATGGTCCAGCCGCTGCCGGCGAAAAAGTGCTGGCTGGGGTGACCGCCATCAAGACTGGTGGACATTTCCCAGGCAGCTTAGTCCTGCATTGGGGGAGGAAGCTGTTCATCGCTGATACTATTGTAACGGTCCCTGTAAGCACCACCCCCTCTGAGCTTCTGCCTTGTCTTGTTAGTCTTGTAAGGTGCCTCCCGTTAATTACATACGGAGTCTGCATATACGCCCCATCCGCGTCCGCCAGGTCAGACCAGCTACTCTTTCCAATGGTCGGTCCCGAACATGATCCCTCTACCACCATCCGAGATACTGAAGATCTGGCGGGCCATTGAGCATTTCGAATTCGATACGACACATGGAGCGTTCGGCGGCATGGATGTAAGAGACAAGTATTTGAAGAAGAGATTGCTGGAAAGCATGAAGATCCAGACACGAGGCGAAGGGTGGGAGCAGCATGAGATTTTGGGTCAAGTGATCTGAGATAGTGGCAACCTTTGTTTTTCCATATCTGCTCAAGGTTTATGGCGTGACGTAATTTCAGAAACCCCCCCCTCTATACTTCCATCCCATTCTTAGCTATTGCCTTGACCATAGCAGCCAATCTTATTTCGACACCGCACCTTCAGCAATGGCCAACGCAGCGCAACGATCTCGCACCACTCCTACTCACTTGCTTGTGACAGAGTCAATCCTCCTCACAGACAGCGACTACCATGCTTAAAAGCAGTTGCGCTTCAAGGACTGATAGGCGCAAGACAAAAGAGAGAGTTCGTAAGCGGGCAGAGTGGCAATTCCGTAGCCCATATCGGAGAACCAGAAGCTGCTCGCAGACTCATCAAGTCTCTCAAATAGGTAAGCTTGGTCGAACTAGTGAGCGTACTCAAACTCATAGTCAAACCTCGTTTCGTTCCAGAAGGAGAACCAATTCTTCCTTTAAGCCACATACGAGGAAAGAAGGGTGTAAGATTTGTGGGAATTCTGCCCTTATGGATAGGGTTCATCATCTTCGTCTAGGCGCACGTTCGTGACAGATTTGCTCCGGCGCATCTTGGTTTTCAAGCTTGAATATTGATACAATAGCCTACGTCTGGATGGGGATATAGCGAATTCGGCTACCGCTTATTTAAGTCTTCGCTGCCGTCAGTTCGTCGTGCCTATCCCGAACGGCAGCAAACGATGTTACCAGAATATCAAAACACGCGACTGTTCTCATACACAAGCCAGCATCGAACTGCCATGTCCAGACGAAGAATAAATTTCCTCGGAAATATCTAGGTTACGAGTACAGTCTACAACATAAGGGATTCAGTGAACGTCTGCGGGACCGAATCAGCTTCTGAGTTGTGAATCAGATGGTTCCTCGGTGGCTATTAGGAATCTCTATACTTCGCGATACAGCAGGTAAGCCTTGTGCGTTCTTGAACCTTTTCTTCTCAAGTACCGCGCATGAGCAGAGGTTGCAAGATTCCGGCGTCTTTAACCTTGCAGTGGCTATCCGTGGCTTTTGCTTGGCGTATGGCGTTACGCTGCCCTTCTGCGCTATCGCCATATCATCGCGCATATAGTTTATGGCTGCGAGTTTCCACAGGTCCTAGCCATGGCACTTTTACCAATCTGACCTAGCCTACATTATGCACAGGTTTTACCTTTAGGCTCCGGAGTCATTGATGCGGCGAGAATGCCGAGGAAGCTTTCGACCAATTGCGAGGCTTCCACAAATGTAAGCTGGACCCACGATTCCTTCTACAGGCGCCGTCAGAGCGATCTGGACTTGCAACACACCATCCCGGGGCTTGTACATGGAGGCCGAGAATTACACGTAGCTTTCGACAACTATGTCTGACCTCGGCGGAGGCATGGAAACTCAAGAATGTCTCTTGGCGGGTCAGTTTACATAAGAGTCGGCGTCCCCATTGTCGACGTTTGAAACATCAACAATCTTTACAATCTTTTCATCCCACTAACTCACAGTCTTTTGTTTTTTCTTGAACGTCTTTGGCAACCCAACATTCTTTAGGGACCAATCAGATCATCAAAAATCAACACAATCATTAGCTACATACAGCAACATCATCATCATCACGAGTAATCTACAATAGTACTCATCATCTTCTACCTTCCGAGACTCCACCCAACCCTAAACTCAGCAAATCCATCGCATATCTCAAAGCCCAACCTCATCCACCATGCAGTTCCAAACAATCCTCTGCCTTCTCGCGGCCACCGCCACCCCCATGCTCGCCACCCCTCTCTCCCTCGAATTCAACTCCCTCCAAACCCGCAGCATCCAATCCGAAAGCTGCCAGCACATGGGCGTCGCCATCGCCGCGGTCCTGGACCGACTCGACGACGACTGCGACGCCAAGTGCAAGACGGAATCCAACAAGGCGCTCGAGGCCTTGATGTCCGTGCAGAAGGAGTTCCCCTGCGCGTTATAAATGGGTTAGGACACGTTGCTCTTGTTCAAAAGCTACTGCAGGCTCAATGGTTGGGTGACGTTGAGAACATCCCTGTCTTGGTTGATCCGGGCAGGGAAGAGGGATTGAGATTGGAGACCTGGTGCTGCTTGAGGCGATTCCGTGAAGAAGAATGGCCAGCGGCATGCATTGGTACCTTGAAGGCGCGCGAAGCTCTGAGAGCCAAAACGTTCTCCGGCGTTGCGACAAAGCCGAGTTCAGGCCGAGGATCCACAGGTGGCGGGCAATGTCAGGCTCTGTATAGAAAGCGTGCAATTCAGTTTAAGCATTTTCGTCATTGGATTTCTGTCTTTAGATCAAATGGACGCCTTTCAACAAGGCGCTTTTACAAGCCATCAAGCAACCCTCCTTGTCTTTATCGTTTGTAAAGTCGTATCGAAGCACTTGCGAATATGTATTGCCTGCGGACTAGTGCGTTGTCTTTGGCACACAGTCGAATACGGCATGAGCCTTGCGAGATCCGCTTTTTGAATGCGTATCTGCAACGTCGGGTAGACCTTCTGATCACTCATGGGTTGCTCAAGCAAGATAAAACCTCGACCCAGACGACACCTCTCCTTATCACGCAATCGGTACATTCGCAGAAATCTAAAGCAATCCGTCTTCAAACCACCGAGTCAATCTGACTTCCGTAAGCTTTCATACCAACGCAGGCCAAGTCCGTTCTCATCTTAGTGTACAATCACATTTCGCGAAAACTTGGATAGCATCACGACAAGATGCAAGATTTTTCCATCGCTGGAGGTGAGGTTGCTAGCGTTAGTGTAGTAGAGCTGGTTCTTGTAATGTCAATAGCTTTTCTGCTCTATACTGTACCGCTGCACCACGTCGATAAATAGGCTAAGCAATACTGAGGTCTTGAGGTGGCATGTCAATGTTTCGCTCCATAATTCAGTTGTGCGTGCGAAAATACGGCAAATTTGGAGGTCGCAAAGGTAAACGCGCAACTCGTAAATCGTAGTTCTGCTGCAATGCAACAAACCGCCCATCTAGCAATATCATTCCGGGGGCTCTCCGGGTCTCCCTGCGGAAGGTGCAGTCCTTGCGAGCTCGACTGTCTTTCTTCCGAGGGACTTAGCGACGAGTGGGAACAACAACCTTCCCGCCAAATGCCAGCAGAATGATCTTGGCAACATCGAAAACCACTTGGGGCGAGCACCTTAATGAGTGTATGTAAAGGTTATATATTTCCTTTTTGTGAAGCCGCCTATGCTTGCCCCGCCTTCATTCCGTAACAGCATTCAGTGCTGCTGACTCGAAACTTGTTCAGCGACAAAAATGAGCGGTTCAAAAAATAGATGTTGACTCAATGGCGACGGACGATGCACAATGAGCCCGTGGTTTCCTAGTCCTTCAACTGTCTTCGCTGTAGCTAATACCTGCCCACGGGTATCTTTTCATGATAGCAATTTACGATCTTCTCCAAAGAATCTGAGACACTGAAAATCCCATCATGTAGCCTACCGGATGCAGATGGCAATGTTAGAATCGATGGTCGTCGATCGACCCATACCCATCTGTATAGGGCGCGGTACAAGTGAAGATGCCAAGCTTTGTAATCCGTTTTGCCAAAGATAATTTTCCTGTCACTCCTGAAAGAACGCTGACCGAGAGTTTTTCTGCAATCAAGATTCGCTACCCGGTTTCTAAGCATTGTTGAAAGATTGTTGAGGTGTTGTATGCTAGAAATAAGAAGCACCGCAACACCACTGTACCAGCGCCATTGGGAATCGAACCTAATACGAACTAAAAACCCCCACAACAACCCCCAAACCAAAAAAAGCCCCCCCCCCACAAAAAAAAAAAAAAAAAAATTCACTTCACAAAAAAAAAAATCCCATAAAATTCGAATCTAAGCTCTCGCTAATATCGCTTAACGAAACTTTAAAATCTATAGCTAATAGCGCTATTAGAAATAAAAAGTATCGTAATATTATTATACTAGCGTTATTATATAGTTAAAGATATTTAATTCGTATTAGATTCGATTTCTAATAGCGCTAGTATAATAATATTACGATACTTTTTATTTCTAATAGCGCTATTAGCTATAGATTTTAAAGTTTCGTTAAGCGATATTAGCGAGAGCTTAGATTCGAATTTTATACGACGTATTAATTTATAAAGCGAAATATTTCTCGTTAGTTATAGTTCGAGAGTAAATATCTATTAATTATAATTATATAGTTAAAGATATTTAATTCGTATTAGATTCGATTTCTAATAACGCTAGTATAATAGAGGCTATTAAAGTTACTTCTACTATTATAAATAGTAACTATTTAATTTCATTTACTACCCGTTAGCTCTATAAATAGTAGATAGTAAATTTTTTTAAAGTAGTAGATTCGAACCTACTATTTCACTTAATAGTTACTATTACGTCTTAAAAAATACGCTCTAACGTAGTATTATATATATATTTCGCGCTATCGTTAAGTTCTTTCTTCTATTAAATTCTTTCTCTCTATCGCTATAACTAGAAAGAAGTTTAAACGCGCTCTTATAAACGCCTATATTAAGTATCTAATTAATAAGAAGATTATTAATACTCTAGATAATAGTAATTCTAGTTTCTCTAACTCGAAAGAAGATCTTATTATATAAATCTTACTAAAAGTAACTAGTAAATATAACTTAAATTCTCGTCGGCTAATAGCTAAAACTTTAATTAATCTAGAAATCTATATAAATTAAAAGAAGGATTAGTCGAATCTCTTTCGATAGTACGCTCGTATAGATTCTTAGATATTTAATCGATTAATAGAGTAATTAAAGCTAATAGCGGTCTTTTATAATAACTCTAAACGAAGATCGAAGTAGATATCTATAGACCGGCAGATACTTATCGCGCTTAAAAGATTTAAAATATATAAAAATAGAGCGTCTATATAGCGAGTAGCTATATAAGCTAAGATAAGCTATAGAATCGTAAATATTATTACTCGTCGAGTAATTATAGTTATTCTCTTTAGCGATCTATAACGAAGTTATATACGCTAA